CATCCATCCATTGTCAAACCGCTAATGGGAGTCCTTCCCAGCCAATCGCAGGGCTACACAGAGACTCACAACCAGTCACACATCTACAGGCAATTTAAAGTCCCCAATTAACCTGATCCCCAGAGCATGTCTTTGGACTGTGGGAGGAAGCCGGAGAGAACCCACGCTGACACCGTGAGAACATGCAGACTCCACACAGAAAGGCTACTGGGCGGAGTCGAACCCAGGACCTTCTTGCTGTGAGGCGACAGTGCTAACCATGATACCACCGTGCCGCCCCCCCCTCTTGTGTGCGTGTTACAAAATGACATGGATCTTCTCTACAGCTGCTGCACAAGATTCATCCTTTGTCTCCGGCTCCTCCTGCATGCATCTGCAGCAGTGACCCTGCTCACCTTTCCTCAAGAATGTGCCCTGGTGGTGGCTGAGCAGGCGACCTGGTACTCGCTCGTAGTTGGCCTGTGGGTTCTTCTTCATGTTGTTGAAGGTGGCGTGTTTAACTACATCGGCCAGCTGCTCGTCGGTCAGCGCTGACCCCAGGAACAAGGCGATCCTCTCCACTGCGGAATGCAGGTCCTGAACATACAAAGCAGGGTATTTTTAACAGACCGATGCGTCGTCACACAAGCCTACAACTTCCAACATTACAGCACATTCAAGCACAGGGAGGAATGAATGCGGCTCCTACTTTAACCATCTCTTCGTAAGTGAGGAACAGCATGTTTATATCATCCTTGTGCAGGTACCACGCCTTGATGTGCTCAAACCAGCTGGAAGCAAATACTGCAAAGGAGAAGACAGACATGTTATCGCCACATTAGACGTTCACCTTGAGCTGCACTGGTGACAACGTGCCACAAGCACCTAATGCCATCATGTGAGTAACTGAAGAACTTGCCATCTCCTCTCATGAATTTTTCAAAGAAGTCGTCAAAGTCCGTCGGCGTTTCCAACATGTTTCCAACCTTATGGAAGTGGAAGTAAGAGACAAGGACATCTTTGGGATTTCTTGCCACGTAGATCACCTGAAAAAGGAACAGCCTGGGTGTGAGTGGTTAGGAGAACAACCCCAACACAAACAATAATAATACATAAAAGCCTGTAGCGCCTCATCGACCTGTAGCAGTCTGAGAGATACTTTGTGAGCCCGGTCAACTGATAGTCAAGATGATTTGTGCGTCATTGTCCAGATAATCTCACAGGAACTCATGGTGTAATGTTTTATGTTAAAAGTGCAAAGCAAAGGGACCTGTACGCAGTCAGATTAACAACACGTTTTGCCTTGTTTGAGGAACTGTTCAAGATCTTTTCCATTATGTGTGTGTGTGTTATCTTAAAACTATATAACTCAAAGCCAGAGGGGAGGATCTTGATGAACTTGCAGGTGTGTCAATTCTGTCTCTTACTTGCAAGTACTTCATAAATGTTCTAGGCTTCTTTCTCTTTTAGATGACATTGAACATCAACACCAGATTTGTCTACCCATCCAAAGCTACCTTGATGCCCAGACATTTTACACACCTGATGCTTTCAAATTAAATATGTAAAACAAGAAAACGCGTGGCGGCACAGTCGTGTGGTGGTTAGCACTGTCGCCTGGGTTTGGCTCCGCCCAGTGGCCTTTCTGTGTGGAGTCTGCATGTTCTCCCCGTGTCTGCGTGGGTTCTCTCCGGTTTCCTACCATAGTCCAAAGACATGCTCTATCAGGTTAATTGGGGACTCTAAATTGCCCGTAGGTGTGTCCGTGGATGTGAGTGCGAATGGTCGTCTGTCTCTGTGTAGCCCTGTGATTGGCTGGTGACCAGTCCAGGTTGTACCCCTTCTCTTGCCTCAAGTTAGCTGGGATAGACTCCAGCCCCCCTGCGACCCTGTGTGCAGCAAAAGTGGTTTGACGATGGATGGATGAAAAAGATGAAAAAGAAAACACTTTTTAGTGAGCTGCCTACCTTGCCTTTCTTCTGGCTCAGGGCGGAAGGCAATAATGAGAATGGCAGATGGCTGACTGTCATCCGTGGTGACGGAGCCTTGATAAACTTCTCTGTTTTCACCTCGATCCAAGGGACCAACTCAGCGTTGGAGAATTTAACGTGCTTGCTGATGGCTGTCAGATCTCCCTTCGCCTCAAGCAGCAGCAGGATCTGTTGCATCCAGATGGTTCCTATCAAAACAGAGCAGACGGGTCTTATTTGCATCTCCCAGGCGGAAGCACACCTCTCACCTCCTGTCCTTTATGGGCCTCTGTCCTGGTTTCTTTTCACAAAACACACCATCATTTCATACCCTGCTTTCTGTTGAAATCAATTTGAGATCAACCGACTTCCCTCCTCATGCCTAAACCCCCCCCCGACCAGTGAAGGCCTGGAGTGCTAGCCAATCAGACACAGGGTAGGGCTGGTCATGATCACACTGTACAGGGAAAAACAAATGGCGTCTGTGATGAATTACGTATTTAGTGTGACCCGGCACTTGGTTGTGCACCTTTGAAGCTTTAGAAAGGCACTTGCTGCAAAATGATCACAATTAAGCAATAATGAACTATTGTATTTAGTGTTGTACTCTTGTGATCTAATCACCTATGACACATTTTGAAATAAAGAAAGCACAAAAGGGATCTCAAATCTTTGTTTTCCTCACCTGATTTGGGGTATGTGACGACCAACACATCAGATTCTTTTATCTCCAAGTTACGAATCATGTCAACCGCATCTGGATCATGAAGGCCTTTGATCAGCAGGAAGCCTTTGTGTGACACTAGGCCAGGATTCCTGACATCAATTACGTCCATGATCTAAAACAAAATAAGGGACATTTGGTCTTCATAGCCCTCTTTTATCAATGTTGCTTCTGTTCTGTTGCTTGTGAAGGAGAGTATATTTTGCCACCATGTCTGCACAAGATTGCGACACGTATAGCTGTTCATGGGCAATTTTAAAAGTGTTGTCTATCATGCATCTGAATTATTGTCATTATAAAAAAAGTGTGATGGAAACGTGCACGTTACAACGACTTGAATGTTATATCAGTGCTGTACATGCGCCCTGCATTCTGGTAGATTATTGTTTGACTTTCAAACTCCTTATTTTATTATTGAAATTAACGACTATGATGGAGGGTTTGCTGCATCTGAGATGGAGCTTCAACTTCAGTACACACGCCAACACACAGACACACCAATTTATGGCAAAGCAAATATGATGCAGTGGTTTTGACACAAGTCAACCCGTGCATGCCCACAGAAACACAAATAAAGAATAACATTAGAAAATTGCATTCATAGAATGTGGCTCGTACATCAGAAACATTGATTGTTCACCACAGATTCAATTACTCCCATTTATTACCAAAGAAATGAGTCAAGAACTAAGCAATGCATTTAGAAAAATAAAGTACACACAATCAAGCTGTCAGAACCCAGCTGCATTCCATGAAGAAATATTATGGGAGCGGTGCGACGCAACGCTTTGGCTAGCCTTGCTATATTCCATGATGTTATCAGTTAGTCATATTAAATCAATGACAGTGAATAAATGTGTTTAGTTTAGTAAATTCAAAGAAATCCATTAAGTATGTGTAGGCCTCACTAAATTGAGGGGTTGAAGGGAGAGACAAAAGAAAGGACCTCTGTAGGACCTGATAATGATAAAAATATGAAGGCTCCTGGAAATGGGCTCACTGTGTTACAGCTTAACCGTGTAATACGGGTGTTTGTGTGTGTGTGTGTGTGTGTGTGTGTGTGTGTGTTTGTGTGTGTGTGTGTGTGTGTGTGTGTTTGTGTGTGCATCCTGATTGGTGGAGCCGCCGCAGCTGCGAGACAGTGATTCGCGCGTTCAATAAAAGGGAATTTATTTTTAGATATTTTAAAATGACACCAAATAGATATGGGATTATTTTAACAGCAGAATACAAGGTGCGGGGAACTTTAAAGTGCGTAAACACCATTTCCAAAACTCCAGAGGTGCGTAAACGGAGTGTGTTACATCATTCCACATCCACATCATCCCTGAACATTACGCAACATTTAATTGTGACAAACTCCAAATTCACCCAACCAGCCTTAGCAGATTAACAATATATTTACCCGCCTTCTTACCCGTCACAACATTGTCTCTAATCATCACAACGACCTACGAGCCTCTTCGATTTCCCATTTATTAGTTGTTAAATCAGGTAATTTAGGAAATGACCAAATTAGAAATGGCTAAATATTCCGATATTTAAATTACACTATTAAATCAATCCCATAAACCACAGCCTGGGACATTCCAGAATCCTTTGTGAGTTGCAGTTTTAGGTATTGCCCTGCCGGTTGATACGAATCTTAAATACTAGGCTACACATCATTTTAACAGTAAAGCGAACAGCGTGAAAAACCATTTAGTTCATGGCTATTCTTCAAAATGCAGAGTATAAATAAGCATATATAAAAACCTTGCACTTCAAGTTCAAAAACAAAAACAACTAATGGCACCGATTACTTTGATACTTTTTGTGTTGTTTTGAATTACACGTTTACTGAGATTTTATGTTTAGAGGTGCATTATCTGGTGGATTTAATATAAACCATCGTACGTGACCGTCTATTGAGCCAAATCCAGGTCAAAAGTTCTCTTCATTTGAAAAACAATGTGAACCTAGAAGTTCACGTGAACCTAAAAGTTCACATTTGATGCCCGCCCCCTGCGCCACATCAGGGTCAAAAGTCCGAATGTGAAAAAACAAAGATCCGAACGCAGAAAAAAAGATCTGAAAGTGAAAATATAAATGTTTTGAATCTGAAAATATAAAATATGCAGCCGAAAAATATTATAGAGTGAATATCAAAAAATAAATATAAGTGAAGATTGAAAAAATATATTTTATTCCCAAAAACTATCTTCATCCCGAAAATATTTTTCGTCCACTTATTTTTATTTTGAATACATTGTTATTATTTTTCAATGTGCAACAAAAAAAAACTTAAATTTTCGATCATGGCGTTCAGCCGCCGACGTGTCGCGTACCTGCTGTAGCGGCTCCTCAGTCTGACGCACGAGCAGCGATGGCACGATCCTTCTGCACGACCACGCGCGCACAAACTCCGCTTTATCGGGCCCACTGCTCCAAAAGCGTGCCAGCGACTCCACCTGCTACCTCCTTCCTCCTCCCCCTCGGAGAGACAGAGAGATAGAGATAGAGATAGTCTGCTGTTACAAATGTTAAAATATGCTTAATGTATTTATACATATATACAAGGGCATATCCATGGTTTGAGCAGGCACTCAGAGGGTCCCGGTGAGCTTTTCTTAACAAACGGAAATAAATTGAAAATAAGACATAACAGACCGATCCATTGACAGGGTTCTGTTGAGCATTACAGCTTACACTAGAATGAAATTACACTTACTACTATAAATTTCATAGTAATCATGGGTGAAGGCCGCTTAAAGGCCAGATTGCACAAACATGTATTTCAAGTCACAACCCCAGCACACGAACATGTTGCAAAAAGATGCAGCACTATCTGGGTCAAATGCAGTTCAGGAACCACCTGTTCCCCATCCTAAGAACAAGATGTCCATTCCCCCCTGTACACAAACTGTTACGCCGCTGAGGCCACAAGGGTTTAGACTCAAAAGCAGACGCAAGGCGTAGTAGTCAGAGGCAAAAATAGTCTTTACTTCAGGCAGGGGTTCGGTACACGGGTAGTCAGACAGAGAAGGTGGATCAATCCAAATCGGCAGGCAAAGGGTCAAAACACAGGAAGAAACACTCAGGAGAATCGCGGGTAAGCTCATTGGGAACAAAGACAAACTGGCAAAGAGCAGGCTGTTGGCACAAAGTAATGACCCATCAGAACGAGACACAGGTGGAAACAATAAGGGCGGGGCTTGCAATCACAGGGCGGTGGCACACAGGGAGGAGGAGTCTGAAACGAGAGGGAAAGGTGAGTGACAGAAACTCAACAGAAAACAATATTTGACCTAGGGTGTTACAGTACCCTGTACCCTTACAGTAGCCCAATGTATTTATACATATATGCAACGGCGTATCCATGGTTTGAGCAGGCACTCAGAGGGTCCCGGTGAGCTTTTCTTAAACGGAAATAAACTGAAAATAAATAAGACATAACAACAGACCGATCCATTGACAGGGTTCTGTTGAGTATTAAAATATAAACATGCAAGCTTACGCTAGAATGAAATTACACTTACTACTATAAATTCCATAGTAATCATGGGTGAAGGCCGCTTAAAGGCCAGATTGCACAAACATGTATTTCAAGTCACAACCCCAGCACACGAACATGTTGCAAAAAGATGCAGCACTATCTGGGTCAAATGCAGTTCAGGAACCACCTGTTCCCCATCCTAAGAACAAGATGTCCATTCCCCCCTGTACACAAACTGTTACGCCACTGAGGCCACAAGGGTTTAGACTCAAAAGCAGACGCAAGGCGTAGTAGTCAGAGGCAAAAATAGTCTTTACTTCAGGCAGGGGTTCGGTACACGGGTAGTCACAGAGAAGGTGGATCAATCCAAATCGGCAGGCAAAGGTTGACGGAGGGACGGAAAAGGGTCAAAACACGGGAAGAAACACTCAGGAGAATCGCGGGTAAGCTCTTTGGGAACAAAGACAAACTGGCAAAGAGCAGGCACAAAGTAAATACACATCAGAACGAGACACAGGTGGAAACAATAAGGCGGGTGACACCACCCTCATTGGACTGATCTCTGGTGGGGACGAGTCCACCTACAGGTGGGAGTCTGACCATCTGGTGTCGTGGTGCAGCCAGAACAACCTGGAGCTCAACGCTCTAAAGACAGTGGAGATGGTTGTGGATTTCCGGAGGAACAGAGCCCCACCCTCCCCCATCTCCCTGTGTGACTCCCCCGTCACGACTGTGGGTTCCTTCCGTTTCCTGGGCTCCATCATCACCCAAGACCTCAAGTGGGAGCTGAACATCACCTCCAATAAGGCTCAGTAGAGGTTGTTCTTTCTGAGGCAGCTGAAGATATTCAACCTGCCAAAGACGATAATGGTCCACTTCTACACGGCCATCATGGAGTCCATCCTCTGCTCCTCCATCACCGTCTGGTACGCTGCAGCCACAGCCAAGGACAAGGGCAGGCTGCAGCGTGTCATCCGCTCTGCAGAGAGGCTGATCGGCTGCAATCTGCCGTCCCTCCAGGATTTGTTCGTTTCAAGGACCCTGAAGCGAGCAAAAAAGATGGTGGCCGACCCCTCTCACCCCGGACAAAAACTGTTTGTGCCCCTTCCATCTGGCAGGAGGCTGAGGTCCATCAGGACTAAGACCTCCCGCCACACCAACAGTTTCTTCCCGTCGGCAGTCGGGCTCATAAAAGGAGCCCGGTCCCCCACTGACTGACTCTGACATTCTGACATTCCACCGGTCACTTTCTTTCATTCTGCACACGTCACTTTTGTCACTTCCTGTTCGCTAGTGCACTTTATTATTTTTTTGTTTTTAATATGTTTTACTTTCACTTCTTAAATTCTATTTTAAACTAACCCACAGCACTATACTACTAACCCATAGCATTAGCATTTTATTTTATTTCATTACTCGTGCACCTGCTGTCCTGCTGTCTTGTCGTACTGTCACGCACCAACCGCCAAGTGAAATTCCTTGTATGTCTGACATATTATGGCAATAAATGTTTCCTGATTCCTGAAAAGGCCATAATGAGCAAATGATAGACTGCGAGAGAAAAATAAAAACATTTTTTCCAAATGTGTGAACTCTTATCAACATAGGAAGCAGGTCCCCTCATGTTGCCACAGCAACCCAGAACAAACCGAGCACCTTATGAAAGCCACCCTACGGTGTTGTCCCATAATAGGGCTTCATTTCCACTGCACTGTTAAACGTATTCCTGATTTTCCTACATGATGGTTTTCCCAGAAATGTGACATACAGAGGTCCCCAATGTAGTGTATGAGACCCTAAATAACAAATACAGAGCGCAATGCGTCAGGTGGAATCACAATATGCCACCATGTCGTGCAAACAAGGGCTGAACCGCTAACAAAACACCTTTAGCTTGTGAACAAGGTTGATTTCAGCGTGCTGCTTTTAGCACTCGGTGTCTACCAGGTGGGCAGTAAGTTAGCCTATAACTTTGTGTCTACTTTTCCTTTGCTGATTCCTCCTTTGGTCTTTGTGCTACTTAGTTGTTGGTCCATACATGTACTGCAACTTTTCAGACCAGAGTCATTAGAATTGTTTCTTTGTAGACAGTCAAATATACAAATGCAGAAATAGGCTCACTGCATCTGCCCTAAATGTTCCTATTGTATTTATTATTATTTTTTACAATTGTAATCATTTTTCCAAGAAGTTACTTGAAGTGTTATTTCAGAAGAGGCGGCTGGTCCTCTATGAAGGACAGAAATCCTAGATCTTCCCAGACCACCAGCTTCATTTGTCCTGAGATAACTTAAACCAACAAACGGCCGCCTCCGGATTCTTCTACTAACAGACGGCTGCTGAGAAATGATTTAGGTGTGTCTCATGATGACGGCTTACTCGTGGCATCAAATATTTGCGATATTACATTTGGACTAAGAGGTTCTCAGAGGGACTGTGTATGTTGTCGGGTTCTTCTCAGGACAGCCTGATTCTGCTCCACTTCCTCTCAATCATCAACGGTCATACCTACAAATAACTGGACAGCATGGAACAGCACAGCTTTTATTTAAAAAATGCTCTTAAATTGTGCAATATGGACATTTTGATAGAATGACTACATTAAATAATTCCTTAAGAGCAGAAAATGAACTTGTTCACAATAAAAACAAACAACTTGAAGTAGATGAGGTGCGCTTCTGTTCACGGGATGCGTTCAGCACATAATATCCTGGATTTAGAGATGCTGATCTGTAAAAAACAAAAGGATAATGATTCTATTTGACTATATCACAACTTTAAAGCTCTCCAGATGGGGTTTAATTGAATGTTTGAATCCTGTTCAGTCACGAGTTTAATTCAGTTATTCATGGCACATGCACACATGCGTCCTTTCCAGGACAGCTCACCTGTTTCTCCTCCGCGGACATCACGCCGTGCACAGACACCACCTGGTACTGTTTGTGCTTCAGGCTGCCGGGGAACCTCCTGACTCGGCGGAGGGCGGGCGCGGCGGTGTCCACGCTCAGCAGCTTCCTGGTGTCTGAGGCCGAGGAGCTGGGATCAAGAAGCAGGAGGCACAGACTCCCGTTCCTCCTCTGCTCCAAGCCCACGATAGAGCGGCTGTGACCTGCGGGAGGACCACGGGTGTTGGTCAGAGGCTGAGACATGTTTGGCCACACTTGAAGGTGGTGTAAAAAGTCATGGGGGGGGGGTTACTTGCCTTGCATATGTATTTACCGCCCTTGGAGTTTTCTACATTTCTACTACTTTTACGTGGTGTAACCACAGATTTATTTTATAACCTAAACTACATTTTTAGCCTCAATTTAAAACGCTGCGTGGAGGAAATACAACACTGCCCATCACCCTGAGCACACCGCCCCACCAGTGAAACATGGTGGTGGTGGCATCATGCTGCAGGGACGCTTCTCTTCAGCAGCTACAGGCAAACTAGTCAGAATTGAGGGAAAGACGGATGGAGCCAAATACAGCGCAATCCTCGAGGTAAATGTGATGCAGTCTGGAGAAGACTGGAGACTGGGTCGGCGGTTCATCTTCCAAGCAGGACAATGACCATAAACATACAGCCAGAGCTACAATGGAAAGGTTCAGAGGATGCTAATGGTTTAAAATGACCAACAATAGTATTTAAAATGTTTGAGAAAGCAAGATCACCTTGTTATGTGAATAACATCTCAGAATAAAATCCACAACATAAGGTGAAAATACAGTGCAGCTGTTTACAGAAATAAAGTGGACATCTAAGTAAACAGAACTGATGGACAGACACAAATCTCCAGAGCAATTACGCTGGTTTGACTGAAAAACAGTGCGTACTGCACCTTGTGTCAGTCAACCTGTAGATTGAAACCTGCAATTAGCTGCACATTACAACACTTGTAAAAGATCATCCGGGTGATAAAAGTTTTAAGTTGCTCTATGTTTATAATTAGGCCTTTAAATTTAAAGAAAGTTAGGTTGCAAATTATTTTAAAACTCTTTGGGCTAGTTGGTAGCTTAGAGGGAGTCAGATCAGCCTCCCTATTTATGAATGCATGCTCGAGGATTCACAAATGTATTCAGGGATTTATATACGACTGTCTGGGGCCTGAAGACATTAAGTAGTCAAAGAAGCATGCAAGTGTATTGAGACCAACTATACAGTTCGAGGCGAACGACTACAGCGGGGCACAGGCTGCAGTGTACCTTGGTGCTGAAGGTAAAGCGGGGGCAAGGAAGTGCGGATGAGTCTGGGCGGCAGCCGGGTGCTCCCGCCAGACAGGAAGTACTGCTTTACCCACTCAAACAGCCGGGGGTGAGTGTCCGCCGGGCCTGTCGGCTTGTGAAAGTCGATGATGCGGGCACTGGAAACCAAAATACAAGCGTTGGTGTTAGATCGATACAAGATTTCAAAGAAGTCACTGAGCTGCATTTCAGCTTTCAGCTTCAGGGATAACTGAAGCAAAAAGTGCAGGCGGCCTTTGGGGAGGGTACGGCTGACCCTCACTGGGTGAATAATCATGTGGTGAGATGAGCTCCTTCGGGAATTTGAGAGAGTATGGAGTACCGGGAATGTTGCTATGAGTTATGCTGCTCATTCTATGACATGTAGTGCACATCTGACCACATCATAATGAGGCACATTTGTGATTTTGGGCTGTACAAAATGAATACCATTTGATCGTATTGCCAGACTGAGGGCTTTGTCCGTATTAGCAGCAGGAGGTCATGGCTGTTGAGCTCTAAGAGGTTTGTCCTTTGTCACAGCTTCTGTTTGGGATTGGTGTATCTAGGGGCCTTGACTAGTGTAACGCTCTCCTGGCAGGTCTCCCTGCTACCGTCATTCCTCTGCAGCTTATACAGAATGCAGCAGCTCGACTGGTCTTTTACCTTCCTAACCTTCCTTCTCCCACACTCCCCCTAGAACTAGACACACCTCTTCAGACTCTACCTCAATTCAAAGGATTAATTGTACCACTTAAATTGTACTTGTAATGGCTCTTATACTGTATATAGCAAGTTATAAATCTGCTTATTTAATGAAATGTAACTTTCTTTTTGTTCCTTTGAGTCGGCATCCTTATGGTTGAATGCACTTAAGTCGCTTTGGATAAAAGTGTCAGCTAAATGACATGTAACGTAATGTCTTGTTCTCCAGTCAGGGTGAAATAGATTGGGAGAGGGATTGGTGCAGTGTCTGTTGGGGTCACCAGGGACGTTGGCCAGAGGTCAAAGCTTTTTAACTACCAGTCGATCGATATTCCAACCCTCAACTATGGTCATGAGCGAGTAGGAGTGAGAGAGAGAGAGTATTAATCCATGCAACATTGCACATTTTACTGATACAGCAGGTTAGAGTCAAAACAGAAAGAAAAAAAAAAAGAAAGAAAAAAAACTACTGCACTTCACCCAACACCAAAGGGACGTGGTTCACCTCCCCATGGGACCAGGCAGGAAGAACCTCCTGTCGTTATGCTCACCTTATTCCCAGAGAGGTGAGGAGGGAGTAGATCTCCGTGGCTCCGATCCAGGCTCGCGTTCCCTGGAGCCGCCGGTTGAAGTGGGACGCCCCATGCGGATCCAGCCCTGCCCTCCACGCCTCCTCGATCATACTCTGCACCCGGGGGATGCTCGGCGCTGCGTTCTCTGACGGAGGAGGAAAGAAGTGACGGGTCGGTTTTTGTTTACCTGTCGTACATTTCTATTACTAAACATCTTCTGGCTTCTATGCAAGTTTGTGCAGGAAAGTCAAGCCACATCGTAAGAGTTTAGATCAAATCATGTTAAGGTCTTAAAATGGCTCATATTGCAAATCAATTGACAAACTATGGCAGGATTTGAAAATGAGTTAACTAGGTTTCCTATCTTGTCTCTTACTGTTCGGTCATCACTCTTGTATTGTTGTTACTCCTATTGTTTATTTAATTATTTTACAGTGTGTAATGTGCCTTGAGTACCTTTTAAAGTGCTATACAAATCAAATGTATTAATATTGGCACAAACAAATCATCAATTTATTGAAAAATACGTATACCTGAAACCCTCACCAATGTATTTTGGTAAAGGGCGCCCTGTTTTCTGACATGCGCTGTTATAAGTGACTGTTAATGCAAACTCAACACTTCATGTTTACCAGCATAATGTCCATTTCCTAAGCACTGAAAACTAGAACAACCAGCCCTGATTGGTGCTGGACAACCACCACCGAGGAACATTGTCAAAATCCAGCCAGACAAGAAAAAGGATTGGAGGTGATTTCAGGTGAGATTTGCAATGTGATGGTGCACCTTGTAAGAGGGAGGCATATGGCTCTATTGTGTGCAGAGAGGAGAGGAGCATCTGGAGGTTTCTGTATCCACAGCCCCAGCCTCTGTCCCCCGCTGAGGAGCAGTAGTGGTCGGTGGCAGCACACAGCCAAACGTGGACATGGTCCTTGCACTCCGTCTGGTAATATTCATACAACGCTCGGACCACACCTAGACAGCGAGGAAACAAGTTGAACTAGTTATTTTCCAGCATTGTTCCTGACACACAGGTACACCAGCAGCCATCACATCTCACTGATCAATATGCACTCGTATGTCCGCCAACTCTTAATTCCAGGCTCTTTCAAATCTGCGTTGGATATTCAATGTTGTCCTCAGCCCAAAGCTTGGCTCCCCTGAGGAGCAATTTCAGGACCAACTCTTTTTTATTTTGTCAATATCTAAAGTAGATGCTAATTACAACTAAAACGTTCCAGTTAATATGTGACCAGAGAAATTATACCAAGGAAAGTCCCTTATATGAATTAGCCTCCGCAGTCCAGGGGTTGGGAGTAGTGTGTTTGGAACAGATGTCTGAGGTGACCATGCCTACAAGAGCTTTGGTGTGTTCCTGTGAACCAGCAGTGTGTGCGCTTTTGTGGTTAGAGAACAAACATACCCTGAGTTCTTGTTGTGCCATCATCAACCCCTGAGGCCAGAGACTCCATCATCTCGGCCCTCTTACAGTGGAACTCGCCAGGGGCCATCAGACCCCTGGCCACAGCCCTCTCCATGGCCCTCTCTGTCTGCCTGCTGTAGCCCCCGCTGCCGTCCAGACCAAACTGCCTCTGCACAAACAACACATCCCACAGGCGGATCAACATCCACTGTCCCGACGGTCCACAAAGCAGGTGTGCTCTTGTGTAGAATCCAGACCTGCAGCTTCTTAAACTCTTCTCCCTCCTGCTGAGTCTCCTCCAGCCTCCTCCTGTGCTCCTCCTCCCGCTGAAGTTCTCTGGCCAGCTTCAAGTCAGAGCCGGGGCTCCCTGCAGACCCACAGTCCAACCCAAGGCGTAGAACGATTAGGATTGATATGATCAGACGGTTACCTTTGACACACAGTTTAGTAGAGGGGCTCGAGGGACCTGCAGCAGGGATACAAACATGTGCCCACCTGCAGAGTTCACAGCAGCTTCGTGGTCTAAATGCAACTCCACATGTTCCTGCAGAGAGAAGCTGTCGCTGCAGACGACAGAGCACATCGGGCACTCAAATCTCTTCTCTCCTATGAAACAGATGTGAGAGCCCATGTGAGTTTTAAACATTTGACATGCGAGGGTTGACAACATTTTTTTTTAGATTACATTGTACTCAAGTATGAGTAAAATTACACACTTGAAGAAAATACTCATAAAAGTACCCCAAAAATCTACTTAATTACAGTAACATAAGTAGTTTGTAATTTCCACCCATGGCAAATACAGTGTTGATTGTTCATGTTTCTGCCATTCTACCGCATCGTTACTAAGACTATTAAAGCACTGCGACACCTAACTGAAGCGTTTATCAAAGACTTGCTTCAATATTTTTGTTGGGTTTGCGCAGGAATTATCTGATGATTCCATCATCAAATTAATTAATACAGCTCATTCCCTTTTCTGCAGATGCAATGTTTCTTCTGGCAGGGCAATGATACATGCACAGTGAGAAAATCTACATGATCATCTGAGGGAGAAAAAACACTGCATCTGGACGCCTTCATCAAACCCCTGAAAACCCTCCTATAGACTCAGTTCACTCGTATTTAGCCAGAAAACAGTGCAAATGCTATAACAATGAACCCTAGCATCTACTTGTATCCCCGCTAACTAGGTTTTGCTATTGTGACACTTTGATGCCATAACTGCTCGTCCTGCTTCACCGATGCATTCATGCACCATGACGAAGAGCAGATTTAAATGGCAAATTGCCATGTCATGTAAATTCTACCAAACACTGTCAAATTTCTGTAATGCTGACCATCACTTGCAAGGGCTTTGTCATAAGTCCTGCTCTCTATGGACGACCTCACCCCAAAGGCCCAATATCGACACTTCTGACTGAATAGGTATCTGTCACCCCTAAATAATTAGATAACACTAGTTGACAGAGCGACCGAAGAAAATCTTCCAGACATGGAAGCAAAGACGCAAATCTAAGAAACAGAAGGCTTGCCTTCGGCTGCGGGCCGCTCCTGCAGATGCAGCTCCACGTGCCCCTGCAGGATGAAACCGCTGCTGCAGACCAGTCCACACATGGGGCAGGAGAACTCCTCCTCTGACACCAATACGAGACTAATCAGGTCAACAGTGACTTTAAAGTTTGAAATACATTTGGAAAAGTTTTAATCACCTTCTCCTGGTGGGGTCAGACGCGTCTGTTTGGCTTCTCTGTGCACAGCTTTAACCCCATCTCTGTCCTCATCACGGTGCCTGACGAGCTCACGTCGCGTTTTAGGGCTCCGTGTGGTCAAAGTCGGAGTGACGGATGCGGCCTCCCCAGTGGATGAGCCTCCACCTCCTGGTGCACTATTGTGTTCAGGCCGCAGTGAGTCTCTGGTGACACAACTGTCCCCAGCCGTGCAGGACTGAGGCATTCTGGGCTTTTTGCTCTCGGTTACGGCGGCGTTCGTCCCGGCTGAGCAGCCCGAAGTTGACGCGGAGACGGCTGGATCCTGGGCTCTGTGCGGTTCCTCTGGGTGCGCAGAGCTGATGTGGAAGCACAGTTCGTCGTAGGAGACACCAGACAGGGGACAGAGTGGACAGTGCATGTTAGTTTCAACATGGCTGAGAAGGAGATGAGTCCTCATGTCCTCTTCCAACATAACGTCCTCTCTGCAGATTTCACAGGTCAGCATGGCTGCGGCCTAAACACACAGACAGACACACACACACACACACACACACACACACACACACACACACACACACACACAGACACTTCAGTGTCAGAAACACAGAGTCGGTAGGGAAAAGTTCCAGGTAGTGATAGCTGGTACAGGCACAGCATAAAATAATTACATATAATAATAAAATATAACCAGCCGATAAACACACAACCGTGACCATGTCTTCCTGAACATCTGTGTATTTGCTTAAGAAACGGAACACTAAACAATAATCTGAATCAATTATTAGTATCAGCGGTTACATAAAAATGTATGTTTATGCCGAAATGAAATATAGTACAAGCGTTGCTATGATTTGGACCATCGGAAACGAGCATATTTTCGGAATGGAACCTTGCATATTATGTACACACTCGTTTCTAGCAGACAAAAAGGTGTAAATTGGAATACTGTTGTCGCCGCCATAACGTCACGTCACACCGCTGGTCACTGACATAACGTCACGTCACACCGCTGGTCACTGACATAACGTCACGTCACACCGCTGGTCACTGACATAACGTCACGTCACACCGCTGGTCACTGACATAACGTCACGTCACACCGCTGGTCACTAACATAACGTTACGTCACACCGCTGGTCACTGACATAACGTTACGTCACACCGCTGGTCACTGCTGGTACTTTCACGTGCGCGTGTTGCCCTTCTACGTCCAGACTGACGCGTTGTTGTGGTTGGAGAAATGAACTCACGCTGGATGAAATGAACGCAACACGGCGCGGGGATGCTGCGCTTTCCTTTCTTCACGTTAGAAACCTCGCGTGCCTTCAGGCTTATGGCGCCGTGCTACCAATATATTTCCGGCATAAACTTTCACAATAAAATGATGGCGAACGAGAACAAGATTCAGGAGACGAGTGGCTGCATCCTTGTAGCCTTCAGCCCTCAGCAGCCTTCGTAGACCTGGTCTGGTCCTCCAAAAACCGCAAAGGCTGAACCAAGCGGTCTCTGAAATGGGACGGTCTGGCCTACGGGGGGACTTCCTGCTTCTCCTTCTTCCTCTTTTTGGCGGGTTACAGCGATAATAACGTATACCGCCACCTACTATACAGGAGTGTGTAAAGGGACTTACAGTCACAAACTCAATTTATACTGCTGCAAGTGTATTTTAGACACAGAAAAAGGCATTAAGGAATTCGATGAAGACCACACCACTGATGTAGGTTCTAAGACGTTTTTTTGTTGTTGGTTAATTTTCTTTCTTAATTTTGATTTGGTTGTTGTTTAGAGTTTCTTAAGTTGATTCCTGATTGTCAAAAATGACAAAAAGAGAGGGATGTTGGGGGAAAATTGTTGCGCCTGCGTAGGGTGAGGCTCTCAGGAATGTGACCTTTTATGTGAGCCTGTGACCTAAGGCAGTCCAGGGTGAGATACGACACAGATGGAACCATACGTGCCCTGACTGGCCTTTTAAATGTTATTCATTGACTGGGTCCATTAAGGGAGGGTCACAGTGTCTCCCCCACGTCGTCTCTGGTACTTTTCCAAACACTCCTCTTTGAGGGGTGGGCTCTCCTGTGCTGAGGCACCACAAACCTCCCTGAAGTGTATAAAACCTCCTGTTCTCCTTTTCAACTTGGTCAGATCTTCTAGCTCCTCTTTGGGAGAAAGACCCATCAGCCCCCTTTCACCTGAATTGTAGTCATTTGACTTCTGTCTGTACTTACGGCTTGTGTTGATGATTTCTGTATTCTTTATCATTTTTCTATATTCTAGTTAGTAATAAATATCACAAAGCGAGTTCAAAATACTTTTGATTTCTCACAGGGGCTGAATCCACAAATTTCCACCACACTAATAACACTACCTTCAGGGATCCCATTTACAATCACAAATTCTTATGAACGGCCACTCCTACTTTTACCTTGAATGATCAATTTGACTAGAAATCCAATATCTAGTTATTCATCCTTCCACCTAATCCTGTTTATTTATTTCATTAATAATCTCCTTAATACTTATTTCTTTCTCTGCCTAATAACTTTTATTATTATTAAGTGTTGACCTACATTTACAAAAACCCATCTGTGATTTATTTAGCAAGCGTTTCATTTAATGTGTGAACGCTTCATTCTAGCTTCAGCCTTTCTAATCTTAAAAATTCAGGGTTCTTGCACCATTTCGAAAGTAAAATGTAATGCTTCTGAAGACCTTTTTAAGACCTCAACAAATATAATTTAAGACCCCAAAATGTCACAATTTCTTTGGAATACGCAATTTATTGCCTCCTACAATGGAAATCAAAACATTTTGTATAATAACTGACAATAACCCTCCCAACATTGTTTGGCCAATATAGATGTAAACAATCAAAGTGATTCCTTTGTGATGCAGAACAGAGCCAACATAACATACATAAATTTGGATTACACTAAACAACACAATGCATTGAGAATCGGGGAACATGGCAGCAAAGACGCCACGTATGCATCATTAGATTTAAATGAATTGTGCCTCGTCACAGTATGGAGAACCCACAGTACCTCTGCCTTTTGGGTGTCTGGTGTTGAAATGAAACTTGTTACAGCCGACTGTTAGGTCGTGCTGCAAACAATGCAGGGATTAACCTGGCCCCGCTATGGCTAGCTGCTGCAACGTATCGCTGGTGCTTTCCTCCTTTCATGTGCGACTCGACGGCTTTGAGCCCCATGGTCCCTAATGAAAAGGTCTTTTTGCGTAGTTTACACATTGCCTCATTGTTGTTTTCAATTGGCACCAACCACCTCCTAAATGCATCCACTTGTTGTTAAATTTGCACTTCTCCATCTTCTTTGCATTTTCAACCTGAGATAGACAACCGCGTAATGGCGACACGCAGCCTGACGTCAGCGTCTGTAGCCGACGTACCGTAAACAGCTATTCAATTGCGGAGACTCATTTCGCACAATACTAAATTAATCAACTATTAGATGTTTTACGATGCGCCACTGTGCTTTCTCGTCGTCATTAAGCGCACCGGCAAAAAAATTAATACCTACAGGAACTTTAAGTGAAATTTAAGACAATTTAAAACCTTAATTAGCCGGATTTTAATTTAAGACATTTTAAGGACACGCGGGAACCCTGAAAATGATCAGAATAGTTCCTCAAAGGATTTGCATCTATGACGTTTTACCCTTGTGTATTCTTCTCATGTGGGCATATAAGCTGTTAGAACTTCTAAAATCTCTTTTGCACATTTTACAGGAATATGGCTTCTCATTGGAGTGAGTCGGTGTATGAGACTTCAAATGTGATGACTGAGTGAATGTTTTCCCACATGTGTTGCAGGAATATGGCTTCTCCCCAGTGTGGACCCTTGTATGAAGCTTCAAAGATGGTGCGTGAGTGAATGTTTTCCCACATGTGTTGCAGGAATATGGCTTCTCCCCAGTGTGGATCCTTGTATGAAGCTTTAAATGTGATTTGTCTCTGAATGTTTTCCCACATGTGTTGCAGGAATATGGCTTCTCCCCAGTGTGGACCCTTGTATGAAGCTTCAAAGATGCTGCGTGATTGAATGTTTTCCCACATGTGATGCAGGAATATGGCCTTTCACCAGAATGAATTTCCGTGTGAAGTTTTATGCTACTACTAAATTTGAATGTTTTTCCACATGTTTTGCAAGAAAATGCCTTCTCATCACTATGAACTCTTTTATGATTCTTACATGCTGATTCATGAATGAATCTTTTCCCACAGGTGTTGCATACATATGGTTGATCAACACTGTGAGCTCTTTTCACGTGAGACAACAAGCCATTTTTATGTTTGAAGTATTTCCCACATTTTTTGCAAATAAATGGCTTCTCACCTGGAGGAGTTTGCTCCTTGCTTGATGTTAAACTACGTTTGACTCTTTTCTGATCTTTTACATGCGGCCTTTCTCCAGTGTGGATCCTTGTGTGACGCTTTAAATGTGATGTCCGTGTGAAAGTTTTCCCACAGGTGTTGCAAGAATATGGCCTTTCCTTAGTGTGAATTTCCATGTGGGCTTTTAAGCGACTACTACATTCGAAGGTTTTTCCACATGTTTTGCAAGAAAATGGCTTCTCACCTGGAGGAGTTTGCTCCTTGCTTGATGTTAAACTACGTTTGACTCTTTTCTGATCTTTGCCATCAGATTCATGAGAGTTGTGAGAGAGAAGCTGGTGGTCATTGCTTGGTTCAACTACAGCGGCGCTTTCAACTGAAATGTAGCCTAGAGATGTTTCCTGTACCACAGTCTGTGTTTCGTCAGTACACAAATCCAGAAGTTGGTCTTCACCGTGGTCTCTTTCCTCACAAGTAGGAGTCAACATGAAGGTCTCCTGCTTCGGTTCAAGCTGCTCTCCCTCCTGACTGCTGCGGAGTTCCTCCTGTTCCTCTTTAATCTGTGGAGGATCTGGGTCCTCTTGGTCCACACTGGGGTTCCTCTCCTGGAGACAGAGCTGCTGGTCACCGAGAACCTCCTCCTCCGTACACACACGTGGCTGTGGGAGCTCTGCGGGGACACGGAACAAAAGAAATGGAAAAACTAACGTTTGAGCGAATAAATACAACAACCATCGTGTGTCCTGCTGTTCTACTAGACAGCAGATGTTTCTAAAGTTGTACTCACTTATCCTGTGTAACTTCACGTCGGGTTTCCAAAAAACATCCAACATTCTGCGCTGCCGGTCGATCTCTTCCTGGTACTCGACGACGGTTCTTTTAAAAACTCCGAATATTTCTTCAGCAGCAGCAGATAGTCGCTCGTTGACGAACTCTCTCAAACACTCAACCGAAGACATTGTTGCTTGGTTACCGATGAAACAATTACCGGCTACACCGAGCAACGACTGGATGTTACACTATAAAGTTCCGACTGGAGACCTGAGTCACATTAAGGTTCCGCTTTCTATTATGGTCGCAGGTCAGCCGGCTCTTCTTCTTCCTTCCTTCAACAACCATCTCCTCCTTCGTCTCGTCTGTTCTGCTTCTTCTACTTCTTCTTCTTCTCCTCCTCCTCTTCTTCTTTTTCTTATTTTTCCTCGACGTTTCGCAACCAACTTCAATCGGTACACACCGCCACCTACTGTACCGGATTGTGCAGTTTCAGGGTGTGAGAGTTTGAAGTGTCAATACGCGCTGTTTTATTGACGCGATGGGTGAGGATAAGGAAGTAATTCATTTAAACAGCTTTAGATGACAGACATCTAATATTCAAGATTCCCCCTTTAATTCTACTATTTTGTTGCACTGTTGCATTATTACTTTTAAATTTTATTAAGTTATTTACTATAACTCCATTGTTGTTTACCTTTAATTTAGATAACTGTGTCCGTGGGGCAGACACGGTCTCTATAGGGTTCATTAGGGTTTGGGTGAGTGACTGCTCGAATGGAAGCGCGTGTAAGACTGCGACTCTGCTTCCTGGTCTGAACTCTGGATTAATATAATATAATCATGGATTAAGTCCAGCATTTTGATGTCGCGTGATCAAGGTCTGTAAGTCAGGGAGAAGGAAAAACATTTAAAAAAACAGGGCCCCCCTGGTTTGTACGAACGTACTCAAGATTCTTCGTCCAGACAATGTCGCCATTCCTCTAAGGCGACCTTGCCCGCCTCTAGCTCCCGGTTTCCCACATCGTAATTACGGTCACCCGGGTACAACTGACGCGACAAGTAAGCACAGGGATGAAGCTTACTGTCCGTCTCAGTGCGTTGGGATAAAATGGCTCCCAACCCCACGTCCGAGGCCACAACCACAAACTGCCGCCACGGGTCTGGTTGGGAGAGGATCGTAGCAGAAGTGAACCGCCTCTTGAGCTCCTCCACTTCTGAAGTCCACACGAAGGGTTAGACACAGGAGGTAAGTGCAGTAAGAGGAGAGGCAACACGACTGTAAGCCCGGATAAACCATTGGTGAAAGTTGGCAAAACCCCAAAACCTCTGCAGTTGTTTTCTCGTGTCGGGTTTAGGACACTCAAGTACTGCCTCCACCGTAGCTGGATCCATCCTCACCTGTCCCTTAGAAATGACATAACCAGGAATGAAACAGTGTGAGCATGAAATTCACATTTCTCAGCCTTTGCATATAACTTGTCCTCCAGGACACTTTGTAGAACCAGGCTGACATGTTGAATGTGTTCGGTGGGATCTCTGGAATATGGAATATGAGAATGTCATCAAGATATACGAACACGAAACGTCCCAACATGTCTCTGAGAACGTGGAAAAAGCCCCTGAAATACCGCTGGGGCATTAGTCAACCCAAACGGCATGACTTGATATTCAAAATGTCCCAATGGAGTATTAAAGCCTGTCGACCACTAGTCTCCCTTTCGTATTCTGACCAAGTGGTATGCATTACGTAGATCTAACTTTGTGAAGATGGTAGACCCTTGAAGTGCATCAAAGGCCTCATTCATCAATGGTAACGGATGCTAGTTCTTGATGGTTATGTCATTGAGACCTCGATCATTAATACATGGCTGAAGGGAACCGTCCTTCTTGGAGACCAAAAAAAAAATCCTGCTCCCAATGGAGACGAAGAGTACGTCCTTAATGTATTTCTCCATGGCTACGCGTTCAGACTTAGAGATGCAGTACAGACGACTACTGGGAAATGTGGAACCGGACTTCAACTCAATTGCGCGGTCATAAGGGCGGTGAGGAGGGTTTACTGAAAACCTCTCCTAGGTCATGGTAGTCAATGGGGACGAGAGATAGGTCAGCCGTACATTGGGTGGTTCCCTGACTGTTATCTAGTTTCGCACTGGCAGACTGCAAGCAGTTGGCATGGCATGATTTACTCCAATTGGTTATCCTAGCCTCTGTCCAATCAATCACAGGATTGTGCTTAACCAACCATGTATGCTCTAGAACGATCGGAATCATGGGAGAGTGATAATTAACAAGCTGATCTCTTCATGATGGTTACCTGAAATAAGTAACTTAACGGGTTCAGTTCAGTTCGACTGGTGATTTTGGCCAACAACCTGCCGTCCAGAGTAGTAGTAGCCTCAACCACCCCCCCAGAGGAATTGTGCAGAGGCCCAGTTGTCTCACCACTTCAACATCAATAAAACTGTCATCTGCCTTGAAATTGTTTTGGCCAACAACCTTCCGTCCAGAGTAGTAGTAGTCTACTACTAGAGTAGTCAGTCTTTTGACTGACATTTCATTGTGAGCGTGGCGTGTAGCGCCTGGAGCTGCCACCCTCCGTTGGAAGGTCGACACATCCCGCCTCCTTTCTCTCTGTTGCTCCCGACATTGATTATCCACCCGTAATCCCGTACTGCACTAACTCTTCTAAAGTCTCTGGTTCAGGGTATGATACCAATTCATCCTTTATCTGGCCATTTAATCCGTTTTAATCCGACAGTTATTGCAGAGACCCGACCTCACCAAAGGGGCGAGCAATAGCAGAAAGGTCTTGTTATCTATCCCTGCACAGCACCGAGGCAGCAAGCTAGAAAACCTTGATCTCAGCCACGATGCCTTACCGACTGAACAAGCTCTTGGCGTACAGTGGAGCACAGAAGATGATACGTTCACGTACAGTATCAAGCTGCAGGATAAGCCAAAGGACCCATTACAGTCCCAAGGTTATTGCAATCATTTCACCTGAACAGACAGTCTGACATTATTATTGTTTGCACATGGTCACACTATATTCTGATATGAATACTCCAGATCCCACGTGTCCATTCCTGTTGTCTTGATATCTGTCTGTATACATCTACAGATAGTTAAAATAATGTTAGTTGAAACATACTCTGATGTCCAATGTCATTCAAGTTTATTTCCATCCATTGTGTCCTTACTATGAGTGTTAAATCCTTATTGTTAGCTGGTAATATCCAAGGAGGAACATTTCCACACGTTACGTTGGGATTACAGATCTAACCCCTTTCAAACGATTTCTTTGCCTCCTGTACTGATACTCCACCCAAACCCTTTGCCTTTACTTTGGGTGTATTCACAGAAGTTGATCTTCACCATGGTCTCACCCAGATCCCTTCAGCTTCATCCAATATGCCAGAGATGGCTTTGACCGTCTTAATCTTAATTGCAGTTTGTCAGCTTCCACCAGAAGTGTGTCGTTTTAAGATGGATTTAATTACGCCAATTTCTGCCTTAAGGCGCTGGCATGCTTCTGCAACGGCGCCTGCGGCTTTCCGTGCAATCGTGTTGATGGACTCGTTTCAATTCATGATTCTAAAAGGGTTGAGCGTGTTGCAAAGCAATTCACCACCAGAGCAATAGGTGGAGTAACGTTTCTTTTCAAAGACGACCTGGAGAATGACGTCTTTGTGTGTGGAAGTTGTTGGTTTATTTACTTGCACGTTTGAGGAGATGTGTGCGTCCTTATAGTCCGCTAATGACGGTGTGGTGGCGGGGTGTGGTTAGCTCAGCTGCAGGGGGGAGAGCGGGGGAGTGGTTCAGGGGACGGTGCCGGCAGGTGAGTGAAGAGCACAGGTGGATGTAATTTGGACTGATTGTCTTCCTGTTAAAAACGATGAGCAGGATCTGGAGGGGAGATGACGGGAGCAGAGCAGAGCAGAGCAGAGCAGAGCAGAGCAGAGCAGAGCAGAGCAGAGCAGAGCTGAGCTGAGCTGAGCTGAGCTGAGCTGAGCTGAACTGAACTGTACTGAACTAAGCGGAGCCGAGCAAACATCGCAACGAGTGGTCTCAATCTTGCTCTCTCTCTCTCTGACAAAATAAAAGACACTTTGCTGACAACGTTGTCTGTGCGTCCTTGAAGGAACCCGACGGTGGTAGCTCCAGAACGGCTACAGTGGCGCACGGCCAGGAATGGATGCAAACAGCCAAGCAGGGGGGCTGATGCAGCCGGCGTTCGCACTTGGGCAGATGCTGGGAGAAATTGCCGCAATGCAGCACGAGCAAGCCGAGGCCAACCGGCACATCATGGGGGCGCTGCAGGCCGCTGCGGACTGGCCGACCCAGGTATTGGAGCGGTTGGCGGCCCGGCCAGCCAGGTCCCGCGCCTGCGGGCGTGGTGATGCACAAAATGACTCCTGGGGACAAGGTGCAGTCCTACCTGGTGATGTTCGAGGCGATGGCGTGTGGGTGGCCGGCTGACGAGTGGGCGATCCGCCTGCTGCCACTCCTAACCGGGGAGGCGCAGACAGCGGCCATGGGCTTGCCACCCGGGCCCAGGCACGTCTACGCCAACGCGAAGAAGGCCATCATGGACCGGCTGGGGCTCTCCCCCGAGGACCATAGGAGGCGGTTTCGGGAGGCGAGTCGCCGGCGGTGGTGGAAAAGATGGTGACAGAGCAGTTCCTGGAGGGTCTTCTGCCGCGGACTGCGGCATGGGTCCGGTACTACCGGCCGGCGACGCTGGAAGCCGCCGTCACCCTCGCCGAGGACCACCTGGCGGTTCACCCCGGCAGGAAGGGGGAGGGCGGTCGGCCGACCGCATCGACGCAGCCCGTCCCTGCGCCACGAAGGAGGTCCCCGCAGCCTGTCGCGGCTCGGCCCCCGCCGACCCCGCGGGCCCTAGCCCCTCAACGGGGTACTGATCCACGAATTACGCTCCATGGAAGATTTTCCACTGGAGCAGTCTCGTGATGATACTCTACCCATTGCCTTCGACCAAGTGAATTGATGGTCAAATGGTGCGCCCCAATGCCGCATTAGCATACCCGCACTTTTCACTGATTAGGGACAGGCTATACCGAGTGAGTCGCAACACTCAGACAGGTCAGGAAAATACGCAATTGTTGGTACCGAAAAGCCGTCGGGAAATGGTTTTCCAGGCGGCTCACTATAACATGATGGCGGGCCACATGGGTAGAGACAAAACTCTGGATCGGATAGTGGCCCGATTTTACTGGCCAGGCATCTGGGCGGATGTGCGCCGCTGGTCTGCATCCTGCCCACAGTGCCAGCTGGTGAACAGGCCAGCCATCCCGAGAGCGCCGCTGCGTCCACTGCCGTTAATGGAGCTGCCGTTCGAACGAGGTATGGACCTCATCGGGCCATTCCACCGAGTGCACGGGGATATCGCTTTGTGTTGGTTCTGGTGGATTACGCAACCCGATATCCAGAGGCAGTACCGTTGCGCAGCATCTCCGCCAGGAGTGTTGCGCAGGCGCTGTTTCAGGTCATCTCTCGAGTCGGAATCCCGAAAGAGATTCTGACTGACCAGGGCACCTCGTTCATGTCACGCACCCTACGGGAACTGTACAAATTATTGGGAGTTATGTCCGTTCAGACCAGTGTGTACCATCCCCACACTGATGGCCTGGTGGAACGGCTGAATGAGACGCTAAAATCCATGATTCGTAAGTTTATTCACGACGATGAACGTAATTGGGATAAATGGCTTGACCCTCTGTTGTTTGCAGTACGGGAGGTTCCCCAGGCCTGCACGGGATTTTCTCCCTTCGAACTGCTGTTTGGCAGGAGACCACGGGGGGTGCTCCACCTGCTTAAGGAACACTGGGAGGAGGGTCCGAGCCCCAGTAAGAACGAGATTCAGTAAGTCCTGGACCTGCGAGCCAAACTCCACACATTGGGTGAGTTGTCACGTGAGAATTTGCTCCTGGCCCAGGAGCGTCAACAACGGCTGTACAACAGAGGGGCCAAGCTGAGACGATTCACACAGGGAGAAAAAGTACTTGTATTACTTCCTTCTTCTAGCTCAAAACTACTCGCCAAGTGGCAAGGGCCCTTTGTGGTCACACGGCGGGTAGTGGACGTCGACTACAAGGTGGTGCGATCTGACAGAGGGGGAGCTACACAGATCTACCACCTCAACCTCCTTAAAGCATGGAGGGAGGTGGAGTCTGTGTCTCTGGTGTCTGCAGTAGCGGAGAGAGAGGAGCTCGGGCCAGAGGTCCCAAAGTCCACCGATGCGTCCCGGCTCCCGTCCGATGCCCATCTCTCTGCAGCCCAGCAAGCGGACATAGCCCGGTTGCAAGACCAATTTAATGATGTGTTCTCCCCTCTGCCAGGTCGCACGGATCTCATAGTTCATCACATTGAGACGTCCCCGGGCGTGACAGTGAGGACACGGCACTACAGGTTACCTGAACACAAAAGGAAAATGGTTCAGCGAGAATTGGCCGCCATGCTGGAGATGGGGGTAATAGAGGAGTCCAACAGCTCCTGGTGCAGCCCCATCGTTCTTGTCGCCAAGAAGGACGGCTCGATAAGGTTCTGTGTGGATTATCGCAGGGTGAATGCGGTGTCACGGTTTGACGCGTGCCCGATGCCCCGGGTCGACGAACTCCTGGACCGATTGGGCACCGCGTGATTTTTTACCACACTGGATTTGACCAAGGGCTACTGGCAGATTCCCTTGTCACCAGAGTCCAAGGAAAAGTCTGCTTTCTCCACTCCGTTTGGATTATACCAATTCACCACGCTTCCCTTTGGGTTGTTCGGTGCCCCTGCCACCTTCCAGCGCCTCATGGACCGGGTGCTGCTGCCGCACGCTGCGAATGCTGCCGCCTACCGGGATGACGTCATCATCCACAGCACCACGTGGGGGGAGCATGTGCGGCGGGTGGACACGGTGCTGGAGTCCCTGAGGCAGGCCGGGCTCACCGCCAACCCGGGAAAGTGTGCAGTTGGGCGGAGGGAGGTACGGTATCTGGGGTACCACTTGGGCGGCGGGAGGGTGCACCAGCAGGGGGACAAGACAGCAGCCATCACAGCCTGCCCGCGGCTAACGAAAAAAAAGGTGAGGCGTTTTTTCGGGCGGTGGGGGTATGTAGTGGTGGGGTGTGGTTAGCTCAGCTGCAGGGGGGGAGCGGGGGAGAGGTTCAGGGGACGGTGCAGGTAGGTGAGTGAGGAGCATAGGTGGATGTGATTTGGACTGATTGTCTCCCTGTTAAAAACGATGAGCAGGATCTGGAGGGGAGATGACGGGAGCAGAGCGGAGCTGTGCTGAGCTGAGCTGAGCTGAACTGAACCAAGCGGAGCCGAGCGAACAACGCAACGAGTGGCCTCAATCTTGCTTTCTCCCCCTCTAACAAAATAAAAGACACTTTGCTGACAACGTGGGTCTGTGCGTCCTTGAAGGAACCCGACGGTGGTAGCTCCAGAACGGCTACAGAGGGTTGTATAAGTGGTCATATTTCGGTATTACTTCAAAATACAAAAGCTCTTCAATCTGATTCATTCTTTCTTCGAAAATCTTCCTTTTAAAAATAGAGGTATTGTGCTATGAAACCGTAAATGTGAGACTCCGTAAATGATGTTGTTAGCAGACCAATCACAGCCTCGCGGGCTGCGTGAGGCTTGCGTAGGTTTTGACGCTAGTTTAGAAAAATTGGTCGACTCACGCAAGGAGGGGTAAAAAGGCACGCAAGGGGCCCCTATGTCTCTCTGAAAACGCACAACCATAAACTAGGGTTTAGAGCTCTCAAATGATGATTGTAATGTACTCTTAGCAGCGGCTCCATAAACTGTTGTGGTCAAAAGTTTACATACACTTAACATAATGTCATGGCTGTCTTGCATGTTTCCTGTTATTTCTACAACTCTGATTTCTCTGATAGAGTGATTGGAATAGATACTTCTGACTTCATGAAGTTTGGTTCTTTTATGACTTTATTATGGGTTAACAGAAAAAGTGACCAAATCTGCTGGGTCAAAAATATACATACAGCAGTGCTAATATTTGGTTACATGTCCCTTGGCCATTTCCACAATTCCATAGTATATACATTATTGTATGATCGCATTATAGCATTATATCTTACTTTATCCCTTGTGCACTGTTGTCTTGTCATCCTGTCATCCATTGTCTTACTGCTGTTATGCACAAACCGCCAAGTCAAATTCCTTGTATGTCTGACATATTAGGGCAATAAATGTTTCCTGATTTTATCTTATAGATATCCATTAGTGACCTTTTACCTGCAGCCCATTCATAACATTGATCACCTTTTTACATTTAGTTTCAATATGAGTTCTTTCTCCACAGACATTGTGGTGGCTGATTTTTGTAAGGGGTGCGGGAGAAAATCCTTTCCCTTACTCGCTAACAGAGATTCCAGGTCCTTCATCTCTTTGGGTGAAGTTCCGAATGGCTCCTACAGACATTTTAAGAGTCACACAATCACTTTTAAACGTTTTGGATGCTGCTGATCACTAATATTTCTTCCCCTTTTCCACATTAATCCATTATCAGCATATAGCACACAGACGATATCTCTATAAACGTCCACAAAGAAGGCATTTATATAATACAGGGCTAATAAAACTACCTTCAGGGATCCCATTTACAATCACCAATTCTTCTGACATGGCATCTCCTACTTTTACCTTAAGTGATCAATTTGACTAGAAATCCAATATCTAGTTAGTCATCCTTCCACCTAATCGTGTTTATATATTTCATTAATACCCAAACCCAAACCCAAAAATGTCACAATTTCTTTGGAATACGCAATTTCATTTAATGAGCTTCATTCTAGCTTCAGCCTTTCTAATCTTAAAAAATGATCAGAATAGTTCCTCAAAGGATTTGCATCTATGACGTTTTACCCTTGTGTGTTCTCATGTGGGCATATAAACTGTTAGAACTTCTGAAATCTCTTTTGCACATTTTACAGGAATATGGCTTCTCATTGGAGTGAGTTGCTGTATGAGACTTCAAATTTGATGACTGAGTGAATGATTTCCCACATATGTTGCAGGAATATGGCTTCTCCCCAGTGTGGATCCTTGTATGAAGCTTCAAATATGTTGCCTGATTGAATGTTTTCCCACATGTGTTGCAGGAATATGGCTTCTCCCCAGTGTGGATCCTTGTATGAAGCTTTAAATTTGTTGACTGAGTGAATGTTTTCCCACATGTGTTGCAGGAATATGGCTTCTCCCCAGAGTGAATTTCCATGTGGATTTTTAAGCCACAACTAAATTTGAATGTTTTCCCACATGTTTTGCAAGAAAATGCCTTCTCATCACTATGAACTCTTTTATGAGTCTTAAATACAGACTCGTGAACGAATCTTCTCCCACAGGTGTTGCATACATATGGTTGATCAATACTGTGAGCTCTTTTCACGTGAGACAACAAGCTATTTTTATTTTTAAAGTATTTCCCACATTTTTTGCACAAAAGTGGCTTCTCACCTGGAGGAGTTTGCTCCTTGCTTGATGTTAAACTACGTTTGACTCTTTTCTGATCTTTGCCATCAGATACATGAGAGTTGTGAGAGAGAAGCTGGTGGTCATTGCTTGGTTCAACGACAGCGGCGCTTTCAACTGAAATGTAGCCTAGAGATGTTTCCTGTACCACAGTCTGTGTTTCGTCAGTACACAAATCCAGAAGTTGGTCTTCACCGTGGTCTCTTTCCTCACAAGTAGGAGTCAACATGAAGGTCTCCTGCTTCGGTTCAAGCTGCTCTCCCTCCTGACTGCTGCGGAGTTCCTCCTGTTCCTCTTTAATCTGTGGAGGATCTGGGTCCTCTTGGTCCACACTGGGGTTCCTCTCCTGGAGACAGAGCTGCTGGTCACCGAGAACCTCCTCCTCCGTACACACACGTGGCTGTGGGAGCTCTGCGGGGACACGGAACAAAAGAAATGGAAAAACTAACGTTTGAGCGAATAAATACAACGAGTGTTTACAAACCACAACCATCGTGTGTCCTGCTGTTCTACTAGACAGCAGATGTTTCTAAAGTTGTACTCACTTATCCTGTGTAACTTCACGTCGGGTTTCCAAAAAGCATCCAACATTCTGCGCTGCCGGTCGATCTCTTCCTGGTACTCGACGACGGTTCTTTTAAAAACTCCGAATATTTCTTCAGCAGCAGCAGATAGTCGCTCGTTGACGAACTCTCTCAAACAATCAACCGAAGACATTGTTGCTTGGTTACCGATGAAACAATTACCGGCTACACCGAGCAACGACTGGATGTTACACTATAAAGTTCCGACTGGAGACCTGAGTCACATTAAGGTTCCGCTTTCTATTATGGTTGCAGGTCAGCCGGCTCCTCCTTCTTCTTCTTCGTCTTCTTCTTCTTCTTCTTCTTTATATTTGATCGGCGGGTCGCAACCATTTTTTAAACAGGTGCATACCGCCACCTACTGTACCGGAGGGTGCAGTGTCATGGTAACTGTTTCATCACTGTTCTAATTAAAAAATCAAAATAATAAACAACACCTACCGGACCTTCCTCCAAACTCCACTTCCGTCCCAACGGACTCATTTTTTGCTTTAAGATGAATTAACTCTTTTTTGCCATTAAATGCAGCCTTGAGTCCTGCATTTCAGAATCTCAAACTTGATATTATGACCTTCTCTCTTTGTTACTTCCCTTTGTACATCTTCACATTTATGTGTTTCTGAATGTTATGTCCTTTGTCGTCTTTCTCCCACTTCTTCTACCAGACGTCCTCTACCGCCTCTTATTAATGATTTAGCTTCCCTCTTTCCAAAGGGAATATTCAATACCTTCTTGTCTTAGTTCTTGATTTGCGATCATATCTGCTCTCTCGTTGCCATCTACACCCACATGAGCAGAGACCCAGCACAACATTTATTCACAGTCATTGAAGTGTAAACATAATCAGGGATATTTCCATCACTAATTCCTCTCGTTCGGATTGTTTTGACATCAGGCTGTTTAGAATCTGAACAGTTGACCTCTCTCATGTCTCACCTCTTCTACCCATTACAGTCCCAAGGTTATTGCAATCATTTCACCTGAACAGACAGTCTGACATTATTATTGTTTGCACATGGTCACGCTACATTCTGATATGAATACTCCAGATCCCACGTGTCCATTCCCGTTGTCTCGATATCTGACTGTATACATCTACAGATAGTGAAAAGAAAGGAAAATGTACATCAGGTGCAACAACAAATACAAACCCTTATTCAGCTCCACGACACGGCCATTGAGCTACATAAGTCATTAATCCCTTTGCTGCCCGAAAGCAAACAAATTTTACAAAAGGTATGGTTCTTAAGCATCGAGAGTTACACCAACGTTTTCAAAGACAATGTTACCCAATGGCTGAGTGAAACTACTGTGAACTTGGATGGAAACGACTTTGATGGCTCAAACAAAGACGTGCCTGACTCTGATATGCACGCCTCACAAGCACCAGCAAAGGCAGTTTCCATGCAAGGAGATCCACAGGATTGTGTGAATCCATCTGACAGCATATCCGACGTGGGAAGCAGGGCCACGGCCAGAAGCTCTCAAAGGTCATCTATATCAAGCATTTCTTCTGCTTGCATAAATGCTGAAGCTGACCTGGCAGCACTAATGGCACGACAAGGATTTCTGAAGGACAAACATGCGCTGGAGGAGGAAGAGGAAAAGATACGAAAAGGAAAAGAGAGACTCAAGATGGACGAGGGCAGCAAGCATGACCGGTTCTAAAGGCAGCGCAAGACAATACGACAACATGAATTCTTACTTTAGTGAAGCACAAACACAGTCAATGCAGCTGAGAGCTGGTGCTGCTACATTTGTTCCTCAGACGTTGGCAGCACCTAAGAGGGACGAGCAAGTCACGAATAGCATCAGCGACCCAGCCACAAGAGGTTCAACTTTCTACTTCTCAGCACCATATGCACGAGCATGGAACCACTTTTAGCAACGAAGGGCCTTTAGGCCAAAGTGGTCAAAACGACGTTATTAAAATAATGAAAAGGCAAAATGAAATAACAACCTTGCTGGTACAGCAACAACAAATGGCATCTCTACCCAAAAGAGATCCGCAGGCTTTCGATGGCAACCCATTACAGTTTCACACTTTTATAAGCGCTTTTGAGAACGGTGTCGAAAGCAAGTCGAGCAATTGCAGTGATCGCCTGTATTTCCTTGAACAGTTCACTAGAGGTCGCCCAAGGGAACTTGTACAAAGTTGTCAGCATGTTGAGCCTGAAAGGGGTTATGCTCAAGCTAAGGCTTTGCTACAGGAACACTTCGGTAATGAGCAAATAATTGCCACTGCTTATATGGACCAAGTTCTGTCATGGGCCCCAATAAGATCCGAAGATGTTAATGCATTACAGGATTACGGTTTGTTTCTTCGAAGCTGTAGCAATGTGATGAACGGCGTACATTATATGTATAAACTGGATATGCCCGCTAATATGCTTACAATAGTAAAGAAATTGCCATACAAGCTTCGGGATTGCTGGAGAACAGTAGCCTGCGAGATACAAGAGAGCCGTAACCAAAGGGCCACATTCGGCGACATTGTTAATTTCGTTGAAAGGCAAGTTAGAATTCTAACACACCCAGTGTTCGGGAATATCCAAGACCCCGCACCAGCATTAAGTAAAAGTATGAATCGAACCATCTCTAAACCCAAAGGAAGTATTTTCGCTACAACTGCGGCCACAGTGGAAAATAGGAATATTGGAACACGGGAATGGAAACGGTACACTGCCTTACCCATCAAAGATTGTCTGTTTTGTGAAGGTGAACACACTCTAGAGTCATGCCCTCACCTGGAAGAGAAGACTCGCACCGAAAAGATCACATTCTTAAAAGAAAATGGTGTTTGCTTTGCCTGTTTATGTACAGGACATATCAGCAAAGATTGTCAAAAACGGTCGACATGCCAAGTGTCCGCACAATGCTTCATATTCAGTTTAAGGAGAAGCAAGCAAAATCTGAAACTGAACAAGAGCCAGGCACGGCAGTGGGCAGAGCCTTAATGTCCAATGGCCTCACTGGGGCTGGTGAGGAAGATTGTAAACTTCCCATAGTCCCAGTACAGGTTAAGTCTAGGAAAGGTAATAAGACAGTGCTCACTTATGCTTTCCTAGATCAAGGAAGCACTGCTGTTTTCTGCACTGAGAACTTATTGAATAGGCTTAATCTCACAGGAAAGAAAACTTGTATCCTTTTACGTACTATGGGTCAAGAGAAGGTCATGAACACCCAATTAGTCACAGGTCTCGAGGTGGCTGGTCTGGATGGTGAGATATTTTGCGAACTGCCAAGTACTTTCACTTAGGAGAGTATGCCCGTCAATAAGGGAAATATTCCACATCGACAGGATCTTCAGAGATGGCCTCACTTGCGACATGTTCATCTGCCAGAGATCGACGCAAAAATCGAGCTGCTAATAGGAACAAATATGCCAAAGGCCTTGGAACCATTAGAAGTGATCCGTAGCCTGAACGATGGACCTTATGCCATCAAAACAATTCTAGGGTGGACTGTTAATGGACCATTGGTAGGAGACCGCACCGATGCATTTGACATTGTCACAGTCAAGAGTTTCAGTTTCAAACTTGGATAAGCTCTGGCAGCAACAGTTCAAAACTGATTTTCTGGAATGCAGCCACGAGGAGCAACCTGCTTTGTCAAGGGAAGACCGAAAATTCATGAAGCTGGTCAGAAATTCAGCGAGCCTTGTGAACGGACATTACCAGATTGCATTGCCCCTGAGAGAATGTAAATTAAACATGCCAAAGAACAGAAAAGTCGCAAAGCAGTGTACTCTAAACCTTCAAAGGAGGTTCAAGAGAGATGTGTCTTTCCGACAGCAGTATGCAGACTTTGTGGACAATCTTGTCTCCAAAGGATATGCTGAGCGAGTATCTGCGGAGGAACCGACTCGTGATAATGGGAGATTGTGGTATATCCCACACCATGGCATCTACCACCCTCGAAAGGGGACGATGCGGGTGGTGTTCGACTGCGGAGCACCTTTCCAGATGACATCTCCCAATGATCAGCTCCAGCAGGGACCAGATCTCACCAGCTCATTGATAGGTGTCGTGACCAGATTCAGGAAGGAACACAAATAGAGTCCATGTTCCATCAAGTGAGAGTACCAGCAGAAGACATGGATTTGCTGAGGTTTCTCTGGTGGCCCGATGGTGACATTGCACAAGAACTGGTGGACTTCAGAATGAAGGCGCATCTCTTTGGTGCAACTTCATCACCAAGTTGTGCTAGTTTTGCACTTAGAAAACGTGCTGAGGACAATGAAGGGCAGTTCAGTCTGGAAGCTATCGAGAAGGTTTTAAGTTGACTAAATGGACGAGTAATCGACGCGCCGTGATTACAGCAATACCAGAAGGGCAAAAGACAGAAAAGGACTAGTACGATGGCTACTTATCAAGACTAAGACCAATTGTTTAGATAGGACAATAACCAAAGTCTGTTTGCTACTGGAAGCAGAGGTCTGAAGAGACAATTAATTTTGACTGACTTATCTACTCACACAACAAAAGGTGGTGGGTAAAGATCACCTTGACAGGCTAAGTGCTTGAACCTCTGGCCTAGACTAGACTCGTTCGTGAAAGAAGATGACTACACCCCCTTACTGGAATATTAATCATGGGCATTCGTTTGATGTATGTTTTATTGTGTTTTTTGTAATTACTACAGTGTTATAATAAGGGGCTGGGACTTCCTATGTGTGAGTGTTGGTACTTTTATTTTGAAATGTAATTAGCATCAGAATCACGTGGGCAGGTGTGCAGTGGTTTATGAATGAGTGTAGGCATCTAGACGGAGTGATGGTTGTATGGACATGGGGTTGAGTCGGGAGACGATACTTTTTGTTGACCGTATTCTACAGCGCACTTTATTGCATCGTCGCACAGCATGTATCGCTTCGCCTGCTTGGATGTTTTTAACTTGACTTTCGGACAATAAAATCAATGAACTTCACAGGAGGAATCTGCGTCTGTTTGGAACGAGTCCACACACCAATCTCCCGTACTTAGCCTCACGTGACTACCGGATTGTAGTCACCACACCAGCCATTCTAAACTGGACCCCCACTTTTCATTCAACACTCTTTTCTTTCTCTTTGTCTCTTCGTTTATTTGTTGCTTTCATGACCAGTTCTTCTCTCTTGTGTCCTGCGGGTTTTCCTCCGCCTGCTCTTTGCCGCCACGTCCTTCACCTGCACTGCGCACTTCTACCAAAAGGATCCACCTGTCACGTGTGCGCGCGCCTCTATGTTGCTTAGTAACGAGCGTACGGTGGCCGAGACGGTTTAACAGCGTCTTCTCACGATGTGGCGCGTGAACCACAGTAGAAATGCGTGAGGCTTCAGAACCTGCATTTACTTTATTACGTTAGACGCGTTAACAGTCCCGAGCTGTTAAACGGGTCTTCGTGTTTCTGTGAAGCAGCGCGGCTTCAGCCTGCTAACAGTCAGCTGATCGAGACAGCTGAGCTAAACTCGCCGAAGCGTAAAATAGTCGTCGCGGTCCGCAGTCGGTGCACAAGAACCACCGCTGCACCGACGTGAGCGAGCGTTCTGGGTTCGTGGATGACGTCATCGTGACGCGTTAATATCCGCCGTACTTTGCCGGTCTGTTGTCTGTTAGCTGCGTGCGAATTTAGGGGGGGGGAAGTATTGTGACTTCGTCAACCACCAACATGCTCGTCTCGTTAACGAAAGTTAGAATACATTTAGTCATAGTTTTTATTTTTTAAGATCGTTTTCGTCACGTCTTAGTCTCGTCTTAGTCGTGGGAAAAAGGTTTGTTAACGAAACATTTTCGTCATAGTTTTTGTCGATGAAATGAACACTGGATCGAACCCCTTTCAAACGATTTCTTTGCCTCCTGTACTGATCCTCCACCCAAACCCTTTGCCTTTACTTTGGGTGTATTCACAGAAGTTGATCTTCACCATGGTCTCACCCAGATCCCTTCAGCTTCACCCAATATGCCAGAGATGGCTTTGATCGTCTTAATCTTAATTGCAGTTTGTCAGTGTTGGAAAAACTGTAATAATGTCATACCAAGAAGGTGTTTTTAGACAAAACAAGACTATGTCTGTATCGTTTGTACAATAAATTGGGTGTGTGACATGTTAGCTGAGATAAGACGACCACTCAGCATATGAAATCTGTTAAACTGATAAACCCTTAAGTGATGTCTAACAGATGAATCAATTTAATTTGCAACAGAATTTCCAAGATTTTCTTTTTTTTAGATGAATATATTTATCAAACAAGGGAAACATTTGCAGGATATGTTCACCTAATGTGCAACAAAAATTGTTTTAAAGATTTGGGGAATAAGAGTAAATTCTTTAATCGCAAGTATTCATTTAATGAGTGAACGCTCATCCAGTCGGGTTTCGGCTGACGGTTATGCCTGTCAGAAGAGATTACTGAAATACACACCAGGAGCGCAGAGTCTTTACATCTTCTGCTGCAAACTAAAGACACAGCTCTTCATACTATACTTTGACTAAAATACACAAAACAAATTGTAGCACTTGAATTCTACTTATAATGGCTCCTATCTGTAGCAGGTTGTAAATTAGCTTATTTGATGAATCTGCACTTTTCTTCTTGCAAATGCAGCATTGATGTTCCGTTCTAATAGAAAGCTTCAGCCTTTATAATCTTAAAAAATGATCAGAATAGTTTGTCACAGGAGTTGCATCTATGACATTTTACCCTTGTGTGAAGCCTGTGGGGAGGGAAAGCACAAAGACTTTAGGAGAGGGTAATGTTGGTTTACGAGTACAGTAATATGATTAATATCTAAAATAATAATGATGATGATGATGATGATGGCAGCAACAGGTGTCAGCAGGGCCACGGCGGATGTCAGGACCAGGGTCCAGAAGGAACTACGATCTACGGAGACCTGCTAGGGGAGAAAGCACAAAAAACTCCCGGAAAGAAGCTGAATTAGTCATGTGCATTAATAAAACGTGAATTATTGTAGAACGAGAGTGTGAGAGAGGAGCTCGGTGTGTCCTGAGGAGAAGTACCTTCAATTCTGTTTTTGATTTAACAGGGAGCCAGTGCAGAGAAGTTAATACAGGAGTAATATGATCCTTTTTCTTAGTTCTTGTTAATACACGTGCTGCAGCATTCTGAATCAACTGGAGAGGCTTAAGAGATTTACAAGAGCAGCCTGATAACAAAGAATTACAGTAGTCCAGTCTGGAAGTGACAAATGCATGAACTTATTTTTCTGCATCACTTTGAGACGGGAAGTTCCTGACTTTTGATATGTTACGTAGATGAAAATAGGCAGTCCTTGAAGTCTTCTTTATATGCGAGTTGAAGGTCATATCCTGGTCGAAGAAAACTCCCAGATTCCTGACGGTGCTGCTGGGTACCAGAGCAATTCCATCCACAAAATGTGTATCACGTGACAGCTGGCTTCGGAGGCGCTCTGGGCCTATCAGGATAACTTCCGTTTTTTCGGAGTTTAGCATCAGGAAGTTGCCGGTCATCCAAGTTTTGATGTCTCCAAGACATTATTGAAGTCTAACAAGCTGGTTTGTCTCTTCTGGCTTGATCGACAGATACAGTTGAGTATCGTCTGCATAACAATATCACGGTGTGGTTCACTTCTTGTCTTTAATTTGTAGTTTTCTGCCACTCGTGTCCCCGGGTAACTTGACTTCCTGCCTTGTTCTGTCATCACCTGTGATCGTCTAATAGTTTCCACCTGTGTCCAATCACCTGCACCTCCCTTGTGTATTTAAACCGTGTGTCTCTTGTGTCACTTGTCGTCATTGTCTTTTGCCGCGTAAGTCCCTGTCTTTCGACGTGGATGTTCGTAGTTCCTGTCTGCCGTTTTTCCCCTGGTTCGTGTGCGTTTTTGCCTGTTGGCCTTTTGCTTTTGCCTTTTGACAATTAAAGTATTTTATTTTCTAAAGAAGTCTGCGTTTGAGTCCTGCCTCCCCCACGCACCCCCTGACGAACAATGGAAGTTTATGCGGTGTTTCCTGATAAGATTGCCCAGAGGAGGCATATAGAGGGTAAATAAAATCGGTCCAAGTACAGAACCTTGTGGGACTCCGTGACCAACTTTGGTGGTCTTTGAGGATTCTCCGTTTACAAGCACAAACTGGGATCGATCCAATAAGTAGGATTTAAACCAGCTGAGTGCAGTTCCTTTGATACCAATTAAATGTTCTAGTCTCTGCAACAGGATACAATGGTGTATGGCATCAAATGCGGCACTGAGGTCCAGCAAGACAAGAAAAGAGATGAGTCCTTGGTCCAATGCAAGTAGAAGATCATTCGTAATTTTCACCAGTGCTGTTTCTGTACTATGATGCGCTCGAAATCCTGACTGGAAATCCTCGAACAAAGCATTGTTTTGTAGAAAGTCACATAATTGATTTGCGACGGATTTCTCAAGGATCTTAGAGAGGAAGGGGAGATTAGAGATAGGTCTGTAGTTAGCCAACACCTCTGGAGCAAGAGTAGGTTTCTTAAGAAGAGGTTTAATTACAGCTACCTTGAAGGACTGTGGTACATGTCCTGTCAACAAAGACAGATTCATAATATCTAATAAGGATGTGCTAACTAAAGGAAAAACTTCCTTAAGCAGCTTGGTCGGAATCGGATCCAAGAGACAAGTAGAAGATTTAGACTTTGAAAATAAAGAAGTCAGTTGATCAAGGTTGATGGAAGAGAAGGCATCCAAACAGGCATCAGGGCCCACTGCTGCATCCAAGGTTCCTACATCGGAGGACAGGTCGGCACTGGTTGAAGGCAGGAGACCATCCATTTTCTCTTTGATAGTCAGAATCTTATCATTGAAGAAGTTCATGAAGTCGTTACTAGTGAGGTCCAAAGGAATACAGAGCTGTGACTCTCTGTCAGCCTGGCTACAGTGCTGAAGAGAAACCTGGAGTTGTTTTAATTTTTCTCTAGTAATGATGAGTAATAAGATGCTCTTGCGTTACGGAGAGCCTTCTTATATGTTTTAAGGCTGTCTTGCCAAACTAGCCTAGATCCTTCTGATAATCAAAAGTTATTTTCATGGGGTTAGTTGGGGGTTCGCTGTCTTGATTTAAGAGTTAGGTAAGGGGGGAAGCAGGATGTGCCAAGCAGGCAGACACGAGTCTGACAGGATGGGGAGTCAGTTTATGTCCTGGCTGAGGAATGTAAGGTCTGCGGGTCAACTAGCAGATTTACCAGCCAAAGGGGGGTTAGAGACACACCAACACTATTCAACATACACACTCTGTTTGCTGATGTTTACGTTAAGTCAGGAGTCTGGACATTGGATGTGACCGGATCTTTAGATGCGGGGGGGTGGAAGGTCCTCCTCTACGCCAGTTTAGGGCCAATAGAAATCTTTCCATCTCTGTCTTTCAAGGGTTATAAAACATGATGTTCTTGCTGATGTTAGTTGTTCTTCCGGCCTGTGTGCTGCCTGAACTGCTCCTGCCTTTGCAAACGCAGCGCTGATACTTGATCTGACAAATAAATTTCCCAGAACGAGAAAAGTCGTTCGGCTGAATTTTTGATAACCCGGACCAGGCTCCAATTCTTGAACACGTATTCTTACACTTCTGATTTGGTGGAACGCCATAATCGTTCAGGTTTCCGCACAGTTTGCTTTAGGTTCCGTGTTTGAGGGTTATACCACGGAGCAGACTTCCTTCTTGTTGCTATTCTTCTTTCCAGAGGAGCAATAGCATCCAGCGCCACTCTCAAAGAGCCTGTAGCAGTATCGACAAAATTATCGATCTGAGACGGACTGAGGTTCTCACCGGAGTCTTCTTGTATCTTGAGGCAGGGCACTGAACTTAGAGCAGAAGGAATGGCTTCTTTAAATGAGGCTACAGCGGTATTCGATAAGCGTCGACTGTAGAAACCCTTGGCAGGAGGAGGTGGTTCCGATAGTAGAAATTCAAAGGTTTTCAGACAATGGTCCGACAGGAGAGGGTTCTGTGGAAAAATTGTTAAATGTTCAATCCCAATCCCATACACAAGAAGGGGTTTTTAGACAAAACAAGACTATGTCTGTATCGTTTGTACAATAAATTGGGTGTGTGACATGTCAGCTGAGATAAGATGACCGCTCAGCATATGAAATCTGTTAGACATCACTTAAGGGTTTATCAGTTTAACAGATGAATCAATTTAATTTGCAACAGAATTTCCAAGATTGATTTTATTTTTTTTAGATGAATATATTTATCAAACAAGGGAAACATTTGCAGGATATGTTCACCTAATGTGCAACAAAAATTGTTTTAAAGATTTGGGGAATAACAGTAAATTCTTTAACCGCAAGTATTCATTTAATGAGTGAACGCTCATCCAGTCGGGTTTTGGCTGACGGTTATGCCTGTCAGAAGAGATTACTGAAATACACACCAGGAGCGCAGAGTCTTTACATCTTCTGCTGCAAACTAAAGACAAAGCTCTTCATACTATACTTTGACTAAAAGACACAAAACAAATTGTAGCACTTGAATTCTACTTATAATGGCTCCTATCTGTAGCAGGTTGTAAATTAGCTTATTTGATGAATCTGCACTTTTCTTGTTCTTCAAATGCAGCATTCATGTTCCGTTCTAATAGAAAGCTTCAGCCTTTCTAATCTTAAAAATTGATCAGAATAGTTCCTCACAGGAGTTGCATCTATGACATTTCACCCGTGTGTGTTCTTTTCATGTGGACAAATAAGTTACTAGAACTCGAGAAACCTCTTTTTCACATTGTACAGGAATATGGATTCTCATTGGAGTGGGTTCTTGTATGATACTTCAAATGTGATGACTGAGTGAATGTTTTCCCACATGTGTTGCAGGAATATGGCTTCTCCCCAGTGTGGATCCTTGTATGAAGCTTTAAATGTGATTTACCATTGAATGTTTTCCCACATGTGTTGCAGGAATATGGCCTTTCACCAGAGTGAATTTCCATGTGGACTTTTAAGCTACTACTAAATTTGAATGTTTTCCCACATGTTTTGCAAGAAAATGCCTTCTCATCACTATGAACTCTTTCATGAGTCTTAAATACAGACTCGTGAACGAATCTTCTCCCACAGGTGTTGCATACATATGGTTGATCAATACTGTGAGCTCTTTTCACGTGGGACAACAAGCTATTTTTATGTTTAAAGTATTTCCCACATTTTTTGCATAAAAGTGGCTTCTCACCTGGAGGAGTTTGCTCCTTGCTTGATGTTAAACTACGTTTGACTCTTTTCTGATCTTTGCCATCAGATACATGAGAGTTGTGAGAGAGAAGCTGGTGGTCATTGCTTGGTTCAACTACAGCGGCGCTTTCAACTGAAATGTAGCCTAGAGATGTTTCCTGTACCACAGTCTGTGTTTCGTCAGTACACAAATCCAGAAGTTGGTCTTCACCGTGGTCTCTTTCCTCACAAGTAGGAGTCAACATGAAGGTCTCCTGCTTCGGTTCAAGCTGCTCTCCCTCCTGACTGCTGCAGAGTCCCTCCTGTTCCTCTTTAATCTGTGGAGGATCTGGGTCCTCTTGGTCCACACTGGGGTTCCTCTCCTGGAGACAGAGCTGCTGGTCACCGAGAACCTCCTCCTCCGTACACACACGTGGCTGTGGGAGCTCTGCGTGGACACGGAACAAACGAAATGGAAAAACTAACGTTTGAGCGAATAAATACAACGAGTGTTTACAAACCACAACCATCGTGTGTCCTGCTGTTCTACTAGACAGCAGATGTTTCTAAAGTTGTACTCACTTATCCTGTGTAACTTCACGTCGGGTTTCCAAAAAACATCCAACATTCTGCGCTGCCGGTCGATCTCTTCCTGGTACTCGACGACGGTTCTTTTAAAAACTCCGAATATTTCTTCAGCAGCAGCAGATAGTCGCTCGTTGACGAACTCTCTCAAACACTCAACCGAAGACATTGTTGCTTGGTTACCGATGAAACAATTACCGGCTACACCGAGCAACGACTGGATGTTACACCATAAAGTTCCGACTGGAGACCTGAGTCACATTAAGGTTCCGCTTTCTATTATGGTCGCAGGTCAGCCGGCTCCTCCTCCTTCTTCTTCTTCTTTATATTTGATTGGCGGGCGCAACCATTTTTTAAACAGGTGCATACCTCCACCTACTGTACCGGAGGGTGCAGTGTCATGGTAACTGTTTCATCACTGTTCTAATTAAAAAATCTACACCTACCGGACCTTCTTCCAAACTCCACTTCCGTCCCAACGGACTCATTTTTTGCTTTAAGATGTACCTCTCTGAATTAACTCCCTTTTGCCATTAAATACAGCCTTGAGTCCTGCATTTCAGAATCTCAAACTTGATATTATGACCTCCTCTCTTTGTTACTTCCCTTTATACATCTTCACATTTATGTGTTTCTGAATGTTATGTCCTTTGTCGTCTTTCTCCCACTTCTTCTACCAGACGTCCTCTACCGCCTCTTATTAATGATTTAGCTTCCCTCTTTCCAACGGGAATATTCAATACCTTCTTGTCTTAGTTCTTGCTTTGCGATCATATCTGCTCTCTCGTTGCCATCTACACCTACATGAGCAGAGACCCAGCACAACATTTATTCACAGTCATTGAAGTGTAAACATAATCAGGGATATTTCCATCACCAATTCCTCTCGTTCGGATTGTTTTGACATCAGGCTGTTTAGAATCTGAACAGTTGACCTCTCTCAAGTCTCACCTCTTCTACCCATTACAGTCCCAAGATTATTGCAATAATTTCACCTGAACAGACAGTCTGACATTATTATTGTTTGCACTCCAGATCCCACGTGTCCATTCCCGTTGTCTTGATATCTGACTGTATACATCTACAGATAGTGAAAATAATGTTAGTTGATACACTTAAGTCTGATGTCCAATGTCATCCATAACACTGCTCAAAACTGCTGCTGAGTCTGAACATATCAGCACCCTACATGGTGTCACATCCTCCACCCATCTCAACCCAATGATCATAGCCACCATCTCTGCCGTGTACACCGACACATTACTCACACTGCACTCAGAAACATGCACTCCTGCAGCCACTCTACCACCATTCACTACCTTAGATCCATCAGTATACACACTTACAAAAACCATAAACCCTTTACAGACATACCTCTCCACACACACGCTCACGTCCCCCTTGCCCCACTCCCTCCTCTCCTCCATCATGCCTACATCCACTCTTGGGCTGTGCCAACATCCCAGGGAACATCTCCCCTGTTACTTCCATGATCCCCATAAACTCCTTAGCAGCCCTAACAACCATCTCAATCCGTGCCGACTTTTTTTTAACCGGTTCACTCATATTAAGAATGTGACACATAAATGCCAAAAAATCCACCCGTTTTACCACCAGTGTCTCTTCTGTAACTGAGCACCCCCATGACTACACTTCTTCTCTCATTACATTACATTACATGTCATTTAGCGGACGCTTTTATCCAAAGCGACGTACAATAAGTGCATTCAACCATAGGGTACAAACTCAGGAGAACAAGAAAGTGCAATTTCCTCAAATAAGCCAATTTACAATTTGCTATAGATAAGTGGCGTTACAAGTACAATTGCTACAAGTGCTACAATGTGTTAGTCTTTAGTCGAGGTAGAGTCTGAAGAGGTGTGTCTTTAGTTTGCGGCGGAAGATGTGAAGGCTCTCTGCGGTCCTGATGTCTTCCGAGAGCTCGTTCCACCATTTCGGCGCAAGGACAGCAAAGAGTCGAGATCTAGTCGAGTGTTTTGCTCTCAGTGAGGGAGGGACGAGTAGTTTTACAGATGCAGAGCGGAGAGTGCGGGTTGGGATGTCGGGTTTGACCATGTCCTGGATGTAAGCTGCACCCGATCCATTCACAGCATGGTACGTGAGCACCAATGTTTTGAACTGGATACGGGCGGCCACCGGTAGCCAGTGAAGAGAGCGGAGGAGTGGAGTAGTGTGGGAGAATTTGGGAAGGTTGAAGACCAGTCGAGCTGCTGCATTCTGAATGAGCTGCAGAGGTCGAATGGCGGTGGCAGGGAGACCAGCCAGGAGGGAGTTGCAGTAGTCCAGGCGGGAGATGACAAGAGCCTGAATCAGTACCTGCGCTGCCTTCTGAGTGAGAAGGGGACGTATCTCCCCCCTCCACCACCTGCCCCTCCCCTCTCCCTGTGATCACTCCTGGCTGTTCCTGGGCCCTTATTTCTTGTTCCCTCCTGCTAACTTGGCTTTTCCTTGCTGCCTCTGCATATGTTACCTTATTTACTATCTTGTACCTCTGTCTTCTTTCTCTGCACAACACCCCCCCCATATGCCGCACTATGTTCCCCGCCGCAGTTACAACACCTTATTTTAGCCTGTGCTTCACATTTCCCATACTCATGTGGGCCCCCACATTTAGCACACCGACACTGCCCCTTACACACACTGGCCACATGCCCCATGCGTTGACACTTGAAGCACCTTGGCGGCGCCGGCACATACTCCCTCACAAAGTAACTCACATACCCCAGACACACTCTACTGGGTAGATGCCCATCAAACTCCACCATCACCGTTGGGCTCTCCTCTCCGTTCCCTTTGTTTTTATTTGTCGTTCGTTTTGCCTCCACTAACCGTCCTCCCTTTACTTCTTTCTTGAATTCCTCCATTGTTATATCCCCCGGTACCCCCGTAATCACCGCCCTGCTCTAAACCCTTCCACCCGGTACATGACGCTTCACCTTCGCTCCATTCAGCGACGCCGACGTCAACGCCATTAACTTGCCGTGCCCAATTAACAGCAAAAATCAACACTCTCCCATGCCCAACACACCTCCCATCTCTAACATGTGCCACCTCTGCTTCAATAGCTTTAGATAATGCTATCAGATTCAACACTTTCCTCGTAGGCTCATCAAACACAGCCATAACTTTCCATTCCTCCACCTGCTCTCGCCTCTTATCCCCTCTCACGCTCTCCACACACTTCTGGTCATCCCCATCAGACATTGACTCTCCGTCTTTCCTAATACGCTTCCTCTCACCCTTCCCTTTCCACTTTACCTTAATACCCGCATGCATTTCTCCCTCCTCATTGTCCGACTTCTCACTGCCCTCCCGCATATCCACCTCGCTTCCACCCGAACTACCCGCCATGCCAACCTCAGTCACAGCGCAGCTGTGCAATCTGCCGAGTGTAAAAACCGGCAACAAAACTAGTGCCGAGGTTGTCGTGCGAATGAAGTCTCCACCCGGCTGCTGCTCTTTGTCTAAGAGAGGAAGGGCTGGTGGAGGCGTGACACTTTTAAACCAGCCCACCTAATTGCAGCCCCCTGGCGTTAATTGCCAAAAGGGTGGCACCTCTATACTGCCACATTCGCAGTACTTGGTTGTCCATTAGATGTCCCTCCTAGGACAGGTCTATAGCAGGGGTCGGCAAACTTTTTGACTCACGGGCCACAATGGGTTGTGAAATTTGACGGAGGAGCCGGGCCAAGAACAAATGGTTGAAGTGTTTGTGTGAGCGAATATAAATGACATGTGAAAAACCATTACGTGAAAGGATTTGGATTTTAACAAATAGCAAAGCATTTATTTACAAGGCAATTTAACAAATTGGCAAAGGTGTAACAACTTCATGAGGACCAGGGACCTAAACGCAACACTTTGTTGTCTTTGTCTGTTTACTTGCAATGCTTTTGACACTTCATGGTCCTTTATTGTTTCCACTGTGAAATTGCTTGTCCCAACAAAAGAGACCTTAACGTAATACAATCGTTGCAATACATTATTTTCTTGGCTGCATCATAAACCAGCCATTCTAAACTGGACCCCCACTTTTCATTCAACACTCTTTTCTTTCTCTTTGTCTCTTCGTTTATTTGTTGCTTTCATGACCAGTTCTTCTCTCTTGTGTCCTGCGGGTTTTCCTCCACCTGCTCTTTGCCGCCACGTCCTTCACCTGCACTGCGCACTTCTACCAAAAGGATCCACCTGTCACGTGTGCGCGCGCCTCTATGTTGCTTAGTAACGAGCGTACGGTGGCCGAGACGGTTTAACAGCGTCTTCTCACGATGTGGCGCGTGAACCACAGTAGAAATGCGTGAGGCTTCAGAACCTGCATTTACTTTATTACGTTAGACGCGTTAACAGTCCCGAGCTGTTAAACGGGTCTTCGTGTTTCTGTGAAGCAGCGCGGCTTCAGCCTGCTAACAGTCAGCTGATCGAGACAGCTGAGCTAAACTCGCCGAAGCGTAAAATAGTCGTCGCGGTCCGCAGTCGGTGCACAAGAACCACCGCTGCACCGACGTGAGCGAGCGTTCTGGGTTCGTGGATGACGTCATCGTGACGGGTTAATATCCGCCGTACTTTGCCGGTCTGTTGTCTGTTAGCTGCGTGCGAATTTAGGGGGGGGAAGTATTGTGACTTCGTCAACCACCAACATGTTCGTCTCGTTAACGAAAGTTAGAATACATTTAGTCATAGTTTTTATTTTTTAAGATCGTTTTCGTCACGTCTTAGTCTCGTTTTAGTCATGGGAAAAAGGTTCGTTAACGAAACATTTTCGTCATAGTTTTTGTCGATGAAATGAACAGTGTGTGGAAGTTGCGTTTGTAATGAAAGGCAATTCCGCGAGTTGAGAACAGCAGCGTGTGTCTCGTTTATTATTACCATAACAACTCTCAAGATGGCGCAGCCCTGTAACCTCACAAGCAAGGGTCTCTACGTCACAACATAACAAAACATTTAAAGGGACCGTGATCCCGGAACAGTCGCAATTGCGTGTACCACGAAACAAGAACAAAGGTGAATTATGCAGTCACATTCACGTGGATCGAACCCCTTTCAAACGATTTCTTTGCCTCCTGTACTGATACTCCACCCAAACCCTTTGCCTTTACTTTGGGTGTATTCACAGAAGTTGATCTTCACCATGGTCTCACCCAGATCCCTTCAGCTTCACCCAATATGCCAGAGATGGCTTTGATCGTCTTAATCTTAATTGCAGTTTGTCATTGTTGGAATAACTGTAATAATGTCATGCCAAGAAGGAGTTTTTAG